GCCATCTTGATCAGCTACGCAGGTCGACTTCTTTTTTCTGTTTCGGCATGACTGAAATTTCCATCGGCGCGAAGTGTTCCATATCAACATCGATCAGATAAGGGCCGCTGGCAGCCATGGCGCTATCAAAGGCGTTTGAAAATTCCTCGACGCTGGCCACCCGCTCACCGGGCACCCCCATGCTTTGTGCCATCTGCGCAAATGCCACCTTGCCCAGGTCGGTTTCATTGATGCGTCCAAAGCGATTGTCCTGCAGCCAGCGCAGCACGCCGTAGCCGGAATCGTTAAACACACACACGATCAAAGGCAGTTGATACTGCGCTGCGGTGGCCAGTTCAGTGGCATGGAACATGAAACCACCATCACCGTGGATGACAACGGTTTTGCGCCCGGTGGCCACAGCAGCCCCCACGCTCATTGGGAAACCCGGGCCAATAGCGCCAGAGGTTGGGTTGATAGACGTGCGCGGTTCGTAGATAGGGAACTGCTGATTACCCCAGTTGTATGCGGATATGGTCTGGTCCCGCACAAAGACGCTGTCACGTGGCAATTTGGCGCGTATGGCGTCCATCACCTGGGGCCAGTCTTCACCTAACCGCTTGCGCATGGCGCCGCGCACGCCATCGCGCGCTTCCCAGATGGTCTGGTTGAACTGGCCATCGTTGGGCAACAGGTCATCCAGACCTGCGTTCAGGGCGGTGAGTGCAAGGTTGGCGTCCGCCAGAATACCCAGATGTGCCCGATGGGTGCGGCCGATCATATTGCCGTCGATATCGATCTGAATCATTTCCCCCGGTGGGGTTTGTGCCTGAAACTGGCCATCCACCCCAACGGCAAACTTGGTGCCGATGGCGATGGTTAAATCGGCACCCTGGATGGCATTGTAAATACCTGCGCTATTGTAATAATTGCCGACACACAGAGGGTCATCCTCTGCAATCACGCCGCGTCCGTCGACGGTGGTCAGTATCGGGCAATCAAGCTTACGCGCGAGTTTTTGCAGCGCTTCACTGGCGCCGGCAGCAATCACGCCGCCACCAGCCACAATAATCCGTCGGCTGCTTTGTTTTATTTTTGCAACCGCCTGATCGATGAGCTGCTCATCAGGTTCAAATCTGCTCTGCTCCGGGAAGCTGAAGGTGGCGGCTTCAGCAGTCGCATATTGCAGATCGATCGGGATTTCCAGCGCTCCTGGCGCCGGGCGACCGGTGAACATATCGTCGATCACCTGTGCAAATGCAGAAGCCAGCTGTGAGACATGGCGCGGGCTTTCAACGCGTCGACAGACGCTGGCCAGCATCGGTACCTGGTTTTCAGCTTCGTGGACGTAAGCCAGACCTTTGCCATAGAACCCGGTTTCTGCCTGGCCGGTAATCACCAGTACCCGGGAAGATCCGTATTGAGCCTCATAGAGACCGGTGACCGTGTTGGACGTACCTGGCCCGGTAGAGGCGATCATGACGCCCAGTTTGCCGCTGGCGCGGGCATACCCATCCGCGGCATGGGTGCCCGCCTGCTCATGGCGAACGTCTATGATTCTGGTTTTGCCCAGGCGGTTGATGGCATCCAGGATCGGCATGTTGTGGATGCTGACGATGGCAAATACATGTTCCACGCCGAGTTGTGCCAGGCCGTCTGCAATCAGATCAGCACCGATATAGCTGCTGGTCATACTGTCCCTCCCCAAGGATCTAAAGCGTTCCGACTATCAGGTGCCGCCGCAGATCTGTCAAGGAGGGGTAGAGCCCTACTGGGTCGCGAATGCGCCGGTATAACGTACGCGGTAAACCAGGCCGCCTTGATCGTCAGAAATCAGCAGGCTGCCATCGGGTGCCACCAGCACATCGTTGGGGCGCCCCCAGTTCTCCTGGCCTTTCAGCCAGCCGGTCACAAAGGGTTGATAAGACAGTACACCGTCAGCCTTTTTCAGCACCACACTGACCTGGTAGCCGACTTTTTCGGTTCTGTTCCAGGAGCCATGTTCAGCAATGAAGACGGCATTTTTATAGTCCTGCGGGAATTGTGTGTCGTTATAGAAGGTAATGCCCAGGGCAGCACTGTGTGCTTGTATGTTGAGGGCTGGGGCTGTGAAGACGTGCGCTGCGCGGTCTTTGTGGTCGCCAAATTCAGGGTCAGCAATGTCGTCGCCATGGATGAAAGGGTAGCCAAAGTGCTGGCCTGGGCCGGTGGCAATGTTGAGCTCTTCAGGGGGTACATCGTCACCCATCATGTCGCGGCCATTGTCGCTGATCCACAAACTGTCATCTTCTGGATGCCATGCAAAACCGACTGTGTTTCGGATGCCGTGGGCATAGATGGTTGTCTCGCCGTTGGCCGGGTTCATCTTCAGAAGGCTGGCGAAGCGCGGGTCTGGCGACAGGCAGATGTTGCACGGTGCACCCACAGGCACATAAAGGGCGTTGTCAGGCCCAAACTTCAGATACTTCCAGCCATGATGAGATTCGCCCGGCAGCTGATCGGTGATCACCTGGTAAGGCACGTTCGGTTTCAGCTGCGTATCAATGGCGGTCACTTTCAGAATCCGATCTACCGCGCCAATGTACAAATCGCCATTGTGAACCGCCACACCACTGGGCATGCGCAGGTCTTCCAGCAGGGTAATGACTTCAGGGTCGGGGTCAGTCAGCGCATCAGGTATCGCGTACACATTGCCGGCCCGGCGGGTGCCCAGAATCAGCGTGCCGTTTTCTGTGAGCGCCATCTGACGGGCATTAGGTGCTGTGAAATTCAAGGTTTCAACAGTGAATCCGGGAGGTACCACAAGTGCTTTTGAGGTCTCTGCGTGAAGCGTCTGCGCGGTGGCCCCACATAACAGTAAAAACAAGATTAGATTTTTCATACACCGCAATCTCGCACAGAGAAATGCTCTACTCAAGAGTGGTGTCACACAGGTCGGACAAGTAAGCTGGTGGGATGAACGCATCCGCCCCGGGTCTCATCCATTTATCAGACGAACTGAAAAACAACATTCAGTCCGCCTATCGTGCCTGGCTTGAAGCTCGGGGTTTTAAGGCACGCCGAGGTCAGCGGGAAATGATTGCCCACGTGGCGCGGACGCTGACACAGGAACACAATCGCATCGCGGTGATCGAAGCCGGCACCGGTACCGGTAAAACAGCAGCCTATTGTATTGCCGCAATACCAACCGCTCAGGCGCTGGGTAAAACCATCATTCTCAGCACCGCAACCGTAGCCCTGCAGGAACAGGTGACGCTGCACGATATTCCGGATCTGAAGAATAACGCGCAATTGAAGTTTACTGTCAGTCTTGCCAAGGGTCGCGGGCGTTATCTGTGTCTGAAGCGTCTGGATGATCATCTGAAGTATTCCGAGCAGCAGGAAATACCTATTTTTGAAGTCGAGTCAGGTGAGCACTCGGCGCTCTACCAGGGCATGCTGGAACGCTTTGCGCAGGGCCAGTGGGATGGCGAATTAGACAGCTGGCCAGAGGAACTTCCAGATGGTGCCTGGCGCGGTGTCACAACAGACCACCGGGGCTGCAGCAATAATAGATGCAGTTTTTTCAAACAGTGTCCCTTTTTTAAAGCCCGTGGAGCGCTGGAAGGCAGTGACGTCATTGTCGCGAATCACGACCTGGTTCTGTCCGATTTAGCCCTGGGTGGTGGTGCGGTGTTGCCGGAGCCGGAACAGTGTATTTTCATTCTTGATGAAGCTCATCACCTGGCTGAAAAAACCCAGACTCATTTCTCGACAAACGCGCGTCTGAACGCAACGCTGAACTGGCTGGAGCAGGTTAATTCGGTGCTGGGCAGTCTGACCCAACGTTTTGCACGTCCAGCAGATCTGGTGAGCCTTGCCACCAGCGTAGCCGGCGAAAGCGGTGCGCTACGCGGCGCGCTGGAGGCGTTGTCTGCGGGCCTGCATGAACTGGAATACATCGCCCGCGATGACGATCTTGATACCTGCCGTTTTCCCTTGGGCGAAGTACCGCCCACGATTCAGGATCTGGCATCGGCAGCAGTGCCATTCATCTCTAAAATCTGTGACGATCTGGAACGTACCCATGGCCTTGTGCAGGGGGCGGTTGCCGGAGATGTGAACTGGACAAATGCCTTTGAAGCAGAAGATTGGCTGGTGCCTGTCGGGCAATTGCAGACGCGAGCGCTGGCAACCCTTTCGCTTCTGCAGGACTATGCGTTGCAGTCGCAATACCGACATGCGCGCTGGATTAATCGAACCCCCTACGATGTGGAGATGGTCAGCGCGCCCATCGAGCCAGGCCATATCCTGCAGGAAGTGCTGTGGCAGCGTGCGTTTGGCGCAATCTGTACCTCAGCAACCCTCAGCGCGATGGGGCGTTTTGATCGTTTTTTCGAGCGCACCGGTTTAACCGCTGATGTGTTACGTGCGCGGATCCCCAGCCCGTTCAACTACCCGGAAATTGCCCGTTTTGTGGTGCCGCCGATGAAATCTGAGCCACGGGATTTTGATGCCCATACCGACGAAGTGGTGTCCTTGTTACCTGATCTGTTAGCCCAGGAGGTCAGCGCGTTAGTGTTGTTCACTTCCTGGCGTCAGCTAAATGCGGTGGTTAAAGCGCTGCCTAAGGATCTTGACGAAAAAATGTTTGTGCAGGGAGAGGGCGCCAAACAGGTGTTGTTAGCAGAGCACCGCAAACGCGTTGATGCTGGTCTGCCCTCTTATCTATTTGGCCTGGCGAGTTTTTCTGAAGGCCTGGATTTACCGGACGACTATTGCCGCCACGTCATCATCGTGAAGTTGCCGTTTGCGGTACCCGACGACCCTGTCGATCAGGCAATGGCGGAATGGGCGGAAGCTCGGGGGCGTAACGCGTTTTACGAAATATCAGTGCCGGATGCAGCATTGAAGCTGGTGCAGGCATGTGGTCGTCTCATACGGCATGAAAACGACCACGGCACAATCACCATGCTGGATAAACGTATTGTCACCAAACGGTACGGCAAGGCGCTGCTCGAGTCCTTGCCGCCCTATAAGCTTCAACTGGCGGGTGCGTCTGCTTCCCAGGGTTCTGCGGCGTTACCAAGGAGCTGACCGCGCTGGGGAATCTCTGCAAATCGCCCCGGGGTGAACACAAGCAGTCGATGGTTCTGCAGTTTCTCCTGCACCTGAACAAAGTAATTCTGCATATCCGCCTGAGAAAGACCGGCGACTAAATCGGCCACCTGTTCGCGACTGTCAAAGGTCATGACGTTTTCGGTCAGATCTGCCCAGTATCGGTTTGAAGCTTCGTTCAGATTTTTCGGATTTTCCAGCAATCGCGTGATCAGGCCGGATTTCTGTTGCTCAAACTCTGCCGTGCTGACTTCTGGCCATGCACTGACGAAGTCATCAACAAATTTCAGCGTGGCCTGTTCCAGCTCAGCAGCAGAGGTGTTTGGCGATTGCACAATAAATGAAACGCCACCGCGCTTGGCCACGGGCCGGTTCGACACACTCACCACGTAGCCCAACTGTTGTTCAGTTCTCAGCTCCTGGAAATACGAAGGATGCATGATCTGCGCCGCAAGTGAACTGCGTGCCCGGCTGGCAAAACTTTCATCGGCGTTCTGTACGTGCAGAACCATGGCGGCATCAGCGTGGTCTACCTCAAGCTGCAGGCGCAGGGCGTTATCGACATCTTTAACTTCGGGCGTGATGAAGTTATGGGCATCCAGCGTCAGAGAAGATCGAAGTAACTGCTCCAGTTGCCGGGCGTCCTGTTTAACGACGTTACCGTGTATAAGGCCCCGGACCGTGAAACTGTCCAGCCTGCTTTTACGCCAGGCCTGCAGGTCTGCCAGTTCAACAGACTCCAGTGCATCGATTAACATCGGGCGCGGCCAGCGTCCGCTGCGCAGGGTATCTGAAATCGCAGAGAACGCCTGACTGTAAGGTCGATCGTTGACTGCGTTGCGCCAGTCTTTGATCAGCTGATTTTTCAGTGTGGCGAAACGTTCAGGGTCCAGTTCGGTATTAAGAAATGCATCTAATACGCTCTCTAACAGCGCCTGTTGTTGATCCTGATATCCACCAATACGAATTTCGTAGCCTGAGTCAGGTACGCTGATGGAATAGCTCAGACCGGCAAGGTAGGCCGGATACACATCTTTACTGAGGGCATCCTGAACAATCAGGCGGTAGAGGTGCGCGATGCCTCTATCGGCTGGGCTGACCAGGCCACCTTCAATCGCCAGCTCGAGAAAAATGTTGGCACGCGGGCTGCCAAACTGAACGTCTGAGTTCAGCCAGAGCTGTAGTTCCGGGGTTTGGGCATATGCCTGCAAGGGTTCATCGTTTGCAGCAACCAGCTCCAGATTTTCAGGCAGGTAGGGGTTTTCTTCAGGCAGGGACAAATTTACATCTGCAACTACGGTTTGCTCTATATCTCCGCGAGCGAGACTGAAGGGTACCTTGAACCAGGGTTCTACCTGATCGCCGACGATGTTCGGCCCCGAGATTTCAACCAGTACGTTGTCCGGGCGCAGATAATTCATAAGGTCTTTGATGACTTTGGCATCAAAATCTTCCATCAGGTACGGTGCAACCAACAAATCTTCGGCAGGATATTCATCAATCCTCGGTGCCAGCTGATAAACCAGCCCGGTTGCGGAAGACTTTTCCTGAAAACGGAAAGCCATTTCGGCCACAACCGCCTGTTCTTCAAATCGCCACAGCTCTGGTGGACTCTGTTTGATCAGTTCAATCGCCTGAAAGACCATGTTGGTTATTTCGTCAGTGTGTTGTTCTCCCAGCGGGGTCAGGTCGATGTTGACCATCATGGCACTGGTATTGCGGTCCATTTCGCCGACGCCTGCGCTTAAACTCTGGATCCAGCCTTTACGGGTTAACAACTGGTGTAAGCTGCCTTCGCCCTCGTGCCCAAGCAGATTGGAGAAATACTGCTCTGGCTTGTTTTTGTAGTGCTCGCGAGCTGCAGGCAAGGGGAACAGGTAGCTGATGCTGGCACCCTCTTCGATGGTCTGTATTTTCAGGGTTGCAGGCAACATTCCATCTTTAAACAGCTCAACGCTCGGGTACGCGGGTCCGATATCTTTATTTTCTATCTGTGTGAACAGGGGTGTGACCAGAGCCTCCAGCGCGTCCAGAGATTGGTCTGCAACAATCACCAGACCCATTTGATCGGCGGAATATTGCGTTTCAAAAAATTCGACCAATTCGTTGTGAATATCGCCGGATAACACCTCCAGGCTACCGATGGTAAAGCGCGAGTTTGGATGTTCTGGATTGATGGCCTGTTTGCCGACCATATACCCGCGCCAGCCATCGTTCTTCAGCTGCATCTGATATTCGGAATCAACGGCATTTTTTTCTCGCTGAGAATACTCCGGGCTGATGATCGGTGAGATAAAGAAGTGTCCCCAACGATCCAATGCTTCCGGAAAAGCTGAAGCCTTTACGTCGAAAAAATAGTTGGTGTGGTCAAGGGCAGTGTAGGCGTTGGTGCTGCCGCCGTTGGCGCTGACAAAGTCCTGAAAAGCGCTGGGTTCTGGATAAGCTTCGGTTTGGATGAAAAGCATATGTTCCAGGAAGTGGGCAAGCCCAGGGTGTGCCTCTGGCTCGTGATTGCTGCCTCTGAAAACGGCCATGGCAGCAGCGGCTTTTTCGGTGCTTGGATCTGAGACCAGGACAACACGCAATTTATTGGGCAATTGCAGATAGCGGTATTCACGGCTGTCATTGGGGCTCTTGCGTAGGGTAATTTTGTCGTCTGCTGACTGGCTCAGCTCATCAGCAGGCACCGGCGCATTGGCGCCACAGCCGCTGAGTGTGAGTAACAATATGGTGAAAGAAAGTAAGTACTTCAAGATAACTCCTTAAAGCGAATGATTACGTTGGCGTGTTCCGCAGGCAAGCTGAGCGTATGGCTGGCTTGCGCGCCATTGGTTTAGCGGCGCGCAGTTTACACCATTGCGAATAGCCTTACGCTTGACGTTTAAACAGTAAGGCAAGGTAGTAATCCAGGCTGAAATAGCGGCCACCGCCGATGATCAGCAACGCCATAATCATGGCAAAGTACATCATCGCAAATTCGATACCGTTGTTGAGTTTCACAATGCTGCCACTGCCGTTCAGGTAGCTGTAGTTACCATGCTCACGCAGAATGGATTTAGCGCGGGACAAACGCTTGGAGGCCTCAATGGTGCGCTCGTTGACGTTGTAACATTTGATATAACGCTGCAGGATGTTCGATTGAGCATGGGCTTCGGTATCGGGGACGCAGATCTGCGCGGGGTTGGATGGCGCTACAGCGGGCCAGCCATTGTCCCAGTGTACGGAACCAGCGGCGACCAGCATCGTCACCGCCAATGGAATGGCCCACAAACGTGTGGCCAACCCGAGCAGCAAACAGATGCCGCCGATGAACTCCGTCCAACTGGCGAGAAACCAGGATAATTCCACCGGGATAACGTTAAAAGGGAAAGGTAAAAGATCCTGGCTGAACCAATTGTCACCACTTATTTTTTCCCAGCCAGCGCCAATGAGCACCGGACCCAGAACCAGACGCAGTGTGACAGACACCACGCCACCCAGGTGATTGCTGATCAGGCCAAACACGCGATCATACAAACGGTTATAAGATGTGACGATATTATTCATTGTTATTCGCTCTTCGTGTGAATTGGTTAGACTCACAAATTAAATTTGGTTCCCCGGCTGGCTCGAGTCAGCGAGCGCCGGTGTCTTTCACTGTTTGGAAACCGCGTTGATGACTGCAACGACTTTGTTTGATTGGCCCTCTGCACAGCTTCAGGCTTCACAGCAGCTGGCCCAGCAATTAACACTGCCCGAAGCCGCGCCAGGTTTTGCGGACTGGCGTCAGGCCAGTGCCCTGATTGCAGCGGTTGCGCTGGCTACCGGGGCTCGGGTCATCGCGATCAGCGGTAGTCAAGGCAGTGGCAAGTCCACGCTTGCACAGAGTCTCCAGGACACTCTGATAGCCGCGGGGCAACAAGCCGCGGCGGTCTCGATAGACGATTTTTATCTCACCCGAAAAGCACGGTTGGAACTTGCTGAGCAGGTACATCCTCTGTTGCAGACGCGCGGTGTGCCGGGTACTCACGACTGGCAGTGGCTGCATCGGACGCTTGATGACGTGCACCGTGGTCAAACCCACCTGCGTGTCCCTACTTTCGACAAAGGCATGGATGACCGGGTCGCTGAGCGCGAACTTAACGCGGAAGTGCTGGTGTTTGAAGGTTGGTGTTTAGGGGTTAAAGCGCAGCCTGAGGCGGCGCTGCGTACACCCTGTAACGCCCTGGAGCGTGATGAGGATGCTGAGGGCAAGTGGCGTACCTGGGTCAATGAACAGCTGCATCATCACTATGAAAGCCTGTGGCAGAAAGTTGATTTGTGGGTGCACCTGCGGGTCCCCGGTTTTGCTCAGGTCCACGCCTGGCGTAGCCAGCAGGAACAACAGATTCCACCTGCTCAGCGTATGGGTGCAGATCAGATAGCCCGATTTATAGCTCATTATGAAAGACTCACCAAGGCGCTCTGGCAGCAGACGCCTGCCACACCGGGCTTTGTGCTGGCTCTCGACGAGAGGCATCGGGTGACCGATGTCACAGTCTCGCTGACGCCTTAACAGGTGCTTGAAACCCCCTGATTTATTCAGATGGCGTTCAGTTGACAGTACCTAATATAGGCCCTGTGAATCGATCAACCACGAGGCAATAAAATGATCAACACAGACAAAAAATCGCTGTTCAGGAAAGCTACATTTGCGGCATTGCCGCTGGTATTAGTGCCAGGTTTAGCCCTGTCAGCCACTACCTATGATCGGGCCCGCGTGGTCAGTGCCCAACCCGTTTATGAAACCGTGTCTTACGAAGTGCCGGTGCAGGAGTGTCGTATGGAGCAGGTGGCTTACCGTCATGCGCCGGAACATCGTGCGTCTGCTACCGGTCCCATCCTGGGCGCCATTCTCGGTGGTGCGCTGGGTAACGCAGTGGGCCATAAGAAGCGCAACAAGCAGGTGGGTACAGTAGTAGGTGCAGTGCTGGGTGGCTCTATTGGCGCGGACATCGCTCGTCAGAATCGCCATTATCGTGGTGCGCCTGTGCAGTATCGAAACGAAGAAGTCTGCGAAACCGTCAGCGAATACCGCTCTGAACAACAGCTTAGCGGGTATGACGTACGCTACCGGTACGCGGGTCAAACTTACCAGACACGTATGCCCAGAGACCCAGGTGATTCCATTCGTGTTCGGGTTCATGTGAGCCCGGCGGGTTAACGAAGCGCCGCGAGCAACTCTGTTAACGCACTAATTTTTACGCGTACAATAAACGCCTTCAAGGTCAGGTCAGCAGTCATGGACAATACAAGCAACAATCGCTCGAAGAGGCGCCGGCAGGTGCTCAAGGGTGTGCTGTTACTGTCTGCGCTGCTGGCTCTGCCTGTGCATGCGGCAGAACCACGTGATGGCCTGAGCAGCGTTGAGCAACCCCGTAACGGTTTGAGCAACGGCCAATCGTTTGCGCCGGCGCCAGGTATCTCAATTGATAAAGCCACTTCGCTGGCGCGCCAGAAAGTCGGCGGACGTGTGTTGTCAGCGACTCCGAAGCAGCGCGGTGGCAACACGATTTATCGGGTCCGTATGCTGGTAGACGGAGAACGCGTGATCACGGTAACAGTTGATCAGCAGGGCCGAGTGAAAGGCGGTCGCTGACAGGTTAAAAACGCCTCACCTGAACAAAGCATCCATTAGATTGATAGGCAGATATGCGAATACTGATTGTTGAAGACGAAGCCAGCTTGCGTGAGCAGCTGGGCAGCCATCTCAAAGGCGAAGGCTACGCGGTAGACCTCGCCGCTGACGGTGAAGAAGGCCTGTATTATGGTCGTGAATATGAGTACGACGCGGCAGTCATCGACCTGGGTTTACCTAAAATTGATGGCCTGTCACTGATTAAAACTTTCCGCAGCGAAGACCGTAGTTTCCCCGTCCTGGTGCTGACCGCGCGTGGTCACTGGCAGGACAAGGTTCAGGGTCTGGAAGCCGGTGCGGATGACTATCTGGCCAAGCCGTTTCAGATGGAAGAGCTCGTGGCGCGGTTGAACGCTCTGATCCGAAGAACCGCAGGCTACGCTTCGCCCGTGTTAAGCCAGGGTGACCTGCAGTTAGACACGGCTAAAAAAGAAGTGCGGGTCTCTGAGCAGGCCATAGAACTCACTGCTTACGAATATAAAGTGTTGGAATATCTGATGCTGAACCCTAATCGAGTTGTCAGTAAAAGTGAGCTTACAGATCACCTGTATGAACAGGATTTTGATCGTGACAGCAACGTGATTGAAGTTTTTGTCGGGCGCTTGCGTAAAAAAATCTCGCCAGTAGATCTCATCCGCACCGTGCGCGGACAGGGTTATCGCTTTCTGGCGGATAATCCTGTTTGAATAACTCCATTCAAAAACGGCTGCTCATCACCACGACCTGTGTGCTGGCGCTGTTTTTGACCATCACCGGTTATGTGCTCGAACGCTCATTTACTGCCAGCGTCGTCAGCGGTGCTCAGGAGCAGTTACGCCTGGTCATCTATTCCCTGATGGGTTCAGTCGACGAGGTAGAGGGCCGTTTAACCTTCAGCGAAGGGGTTACTGAACCACGGCTCACTCAGCCTGAAAGCGGTCTGTATGCGAAAGTCAGCAACGAGCTTGGCGAAGTTATCTGGCGTTCGCCTTCCGCAGTAACCTCTGGGGTATCGTTTCCCAACATTGATGCGGAGCCCGGCGCTTTTGTGTTTACACCCGACAATGGCGTAACACCACGTTACCACCTCAGCTATACGGTGATCTGGGAAAATGCAGATACTGAAGAGGTGATTTTCAGTGCCGCTACGGATCAGCGCCCCTTTCGTATTGCCATCAATCAATTCCGACGAAGTTTGGGCATTGGCCTGGGGGCGGCTACGGCCTTGTTCATTTTTGCACAGCTGCTGGCGTTACGTTGGGGTCTGTTACCGTTGCGTACCATGGCGGAGGAAGTTCAACAGCTGGAAGCCGGACATCGGCAGGCGCTCAGCGCCAACTATCCTAAAGAACTGGCGGGGCTGGCGCAGAACCTCGATCGCTTTGTAGATCATGAGCAACGTTCTCGCAGCCGCTATCGGAATGCGTTAGACGATCTGGCCCACAGTCTGAAAACGCCGTTGGCTGTGGTGCGCAACAGCTTGCTCGATACCCAGGTGAATAAACCGCTGCTGACGGAGCAGCTTGATCGGATGGAAACGACGGTCATGCATCAGCTTACCAAAGCCTCAGCAAGCGGGCCTGTGGTCGTGGGGCAGAGTGTGGCAATCGGCGAGATGGTGGAACGCCTGTTACGCGCCCTGCAAACCGCTTATCTGGACCGGGGTATTGCCGTGCAGGTCACCGCTGATCCTGACGTCATTGCACGTGGAGATGAGCGTGATTTTATGGAGATGGTTGGTAATCTGCTGGAGAACGCATTCAAATATACCCACAGTCAGATTGCCATTACTGTTTCATTGGTGGCGGATGCAGAACACGGTAAGCGGTGTCAGATTGTTATAGAAGACGATGGCGAAGGCATTCCAGCGGCCATGCGCTCAGAAGTCCTGCGCCGTGGCCGTCGCCTGGATGAAATTCAGTCGGGTCAGGGTATCGGCCTGGCGATGGTGGCGGAACTGGTTGAGTTGTACGCCGGCGAACTGGAAATAGACAAGAGCGCCTCCGGTGGTGCCAGTGTCAGGCTTTATTTACCTGTCTGAACCCAGGAAGGCAACGGCGTGCGGCGTCTGGTTGCCTGTGAAACTTAAAGCCTGGTCTTGAGGGCTGCAAAAAATCGGCTGCGCAGCCGCTCAGCCTGTGTGTCTTTTGGGCCCGCTGCGCACCATCGATTGCGCAGTGCTTTCCAGTCTTCCTGGGCCAGATCGCGCCTGCCGGCATTCATCAGTTCAACCTGCAGCGCCATGCGCGCACTGCGATCCGCATCAGGACTGGGTAGATCTGCGGCTATCTCAGCTTCGAGAGTAAGCGCCAGCCAATCCTCCGTGCTGCTATCTCCCGCCAGACGCTGGGCAAAAACAGGATGTGGTGCCTCGATGGGGGTGTTGCCTGCTTCAGCGGCGGAAACCTCAGCATCCCAGGTTTCGAACTGTTTTAATTCTTCAACAACACCTGCCTTGGCCAGGTTTTGAAGGGCGATACGATAGGCTTCTCTTGCGCTTTCCACCCGCTGACGATGTTGAGCAGACAGGCTGATGTCTTGTGCCAGATTATTCAGGTTGTCGATAAATGTATCGAGGGCTGCGCGGCTGTGGTCACTGCCTGCGGCA